AACTTTGTTAAAGTTAATTTGACATCAGAAATAGCTGCTACTTTCTTTCAACACTGCAGCTTGTCTGAACATGTAGTATGTCCAGTTCCCATTTGGAGGAACATTGTCCTCCCTATTTGTAGCAGCTCTGGCAGGCAGGGATTTTGAAGAGGAAAGATGCTATTCTTTCCAGGAACTCTTTGGTTTTTCTTTTGTATACAGCCCAGCAAATAAATAGATCCTGAAGTAAATATAATGTATAAAGGGAAGACAGGTATAAGCAATTTATTTTATTTTCCTTTTGTAAGGAATCAGGGAGATGGTTTTGCTTTTCTAGCCAGCTTTTTATTGTCATGTTGTGATATTAGAGATAATGAAGATAACTATGCATCCCCTTTAAACTGTTTTCAGTTACTGTCACTGTAGCAATTTGCATTACTAGGTAACATAGTCATAAAGTGTAACATCAGCTTATCTATCTATCTATCTATCTATCTATCTATCTATCTATCTATCTATCTATCTATCTATCTATCATTTAATATTAAATATAAAATTTGGGCAAAATTCTAAGTATAATTAATCTACAAATAGTAATTTAATTTATGAATGATTTTGCTTGTGAAAACAGGAAGGTTTTTTATTTTTTATCCTGCCTTTATTGTAATTTATTTGTAAATAATTCAAGGTGGCAAACATGCCTAATACTCCTTCCTCCTCCTATTTTTCTCCACAGCAACAATAACCCTGTGAAGTGAGTTGGCTGAGAGACAATAACAAGCCCAAAGTCACTCAACCAGTTTTCATGTGAATACTAATATCCCAGAAAAATATTTCTGAATAGGTCTTTCATTTTATTTTTACCATACATAGGAGGAGGTCAGAAACCTACAGTATGTTAGTAGTTTTTAAATTTTTTATACAGCAATCAATTACATTTGAGTAGAACTGATAAAAAGTTCACTTGGGGAATCTGGAATGTTGCTCCAATTTTATTATGAACTTAACACAACTAGAAATATTTGTTTTCTTTATAAAATAATTAAAACAAGATACTTGAATTTTATAAAACCCTCATGTAAACAAAATACAATGGGCTCAGCATGAAAAGGCTGTTTTAAGTCACATCACAGAAAGTTTTGATACTGAGCAACATTAAACATATGACAAGCTGAAAACAAAGCAAGTGCTAACACAGAACAACATCAGAATCACATATAATTAAAACCATAAATTTTATCAAGATATTGTCAAGAGCTTATTGTTATCTTATATTGGGTTTCAGGTACCGTTGCCCATAATTTGGCTATATTGTATACAATGCTTGAGTGCCCATTATGAAGGCAACATAGTAATTGGCTATAGTTGGTTACCCTGCCTGTCTCATAAAATTTCTAATAAAATAAGATACATAAATCTGTTTACCAGATATAGATGCATTTATTTCTCATAAGGAATCTTATTAAGTGATCCTCCAACAAGGCAAATCACAATATATTAAAAATGGGCTTGAGAAAAGATTCTGTGATTAGTAGGCATTTCCAAAATAGATAGTTAGCCAATTGCAATATGTAACATATTTTGCATATAACCTCCTAATGCTGACCTGCCTTTTCATATGTGGTCTCTGAAATAGCAGGTGAAGTCTTGCAACATAAGAATTCTAAATGTCATTTGAAATGTTAACATGGGAAAAACATCAGATAGAATTAGACAAGATGTTTCTATGGCAAGACAAAGGATTTGTTGAAGTCCTGCTTGGGATATATCAAATAAAATAAATATGATTTTGAGTTTTAAAAATCCAATTATGTGCAAATAGCACAGCATGTGTGATAGTCTGTACTATCACTACATATGTACTTCCACTACATATATCTGTTTGCTTGCTAATTTGCTTCATAAAACTAATGCAGAAGCTAAGGCAGATTTTTTTCAGGATGCTGAAGATAGTTTAGAAAGTCAAAATTATATTGTGCAACCAGAAATCCATTATAATATACTGAATGGGCTTTTTTTTGGTAAGCTACAAGTCAGTGAAGTTCCATTTCAGTGGGTTTATTCTAAATTTGACTAAATGATGGGCCAATTAATTATTAGTCTGTTCTGAACTTGCCAAATCACTGTTCTTGTTTCCATGCTATGCAGAAAAATAAATAAAGAGGAATTAAGAACAAACTTCCAAACAGTTAGCCTCAAATTAAATCTAGTTAATTGTGTTCCATTGATTCTAATAATTCCAAAGAAAGGGAATCAAAATATTTCTAATCCTATCACATTAGGATAGCAGTGAAAATCAAATTACAAAATAATAAATAGAAAGATGAATAATTTAGTGGGAAATGGGAGGCTGAAAAAGTGACAGATGGGTGGAGTTAATGAGATCTGGAAAAAATAAAGACGAGAAATTTAAAGGATAAAAGATAATATACGAGGTGGTATGTGGATGTGAGGAAAACAAGAATTGTTTGCAAGTATAGACATGCATGAACAGGTATTCTGTAATGAAACTTGTGACATAAACCAGATTTAACTATTTCCTTTTTACACTCTGATATTTTGTATTCTATTCTTACTTTCTGCAGAATAATAGCCCAAAGAGATTAGCATGATGGCTTTGTATACATGCATGGCATTTTTAGATGACACCAGAATGAAATATCACTTTCTGCAAGACCACTAAACTATAAATTAACAAAAGTGGCAACATACAAAGAAAACCAATATAAAATGCTATACAGATGGCACCTAGCGCCCGCGAGATTAGCAAGAATCTATCCAAATGTAAGCCCCAAATGTTGGAAGCGTGGATGTCACCAAGGTACCTTCTTTCACATGTGGTGGGCCTGTCCCGAAGTGATGAGGTATTGGAGAAAAACTCAAAATTGGCTACAAGAATCAACCAATGAAAAAATCGAATTGATACCTGAAACATTTCTCCTGGGAATACTAAAGACAAAATATCAGGAAAAAAAAAAAGATATCTAATCATACATATACTCGCTGCAGCAAGAATAGCTTACATCCAGTATTGGAAAGGAAAGGACACAGCACCAGAGGAACATATTCAGAAGGTTCTAGATTGTGCCGAAATGAACAAATTAACATTAGAATTAAATGAGAAAGAAGACTCAGAATATTATACGGTGTGGGATGATTGGTACAGGTGGATTGAAATAGAATAAAGAATAGATAAAAGTTAATATAAATCTTAAGATGCATATGTAAATTACATATGCATATGTTATATTATGATGAAAAGTAAAAGAAGAATCAATCTAACCTGTGTAGAAAAATAACAATGTCTGACTGATTGTACTGTATTGCATTATAATAAATTTCAATTAAAAAAAAAAAGAATCTGGACAGTCCTTCTCAATTAGATCTAGAAAGAAGGCAATGACAAACACTTCTAAAAAGTGTTGCCAAGACACTTAATCAACATGAGATAAGATTTTTTTTTAAAAGTTTAAAAAGTTTAAAAAAACTTGCATTATCATTTGAAACTACAAATATTTTTTTTATTTGGTGATGAACATTTATTAATTTAACATATTATTTTGAAATGTAATTATGAAATACAGCTGCCAGGAAAGAGTTAATGATATTATTTTTAAATGGAAGGTGAGACTAGAGTGAATAAACAGACTTTTTCAAGAAAATTGTTATATTTTACTATTGTACTCCACTTGAATTTCGGAAAGAAACATTGATCTATTATGATAGATGTTAATTTTTCATTTCTTAATTCATTTTAAACATAAATGCTAGTTTACACTATATAGATGCAATCCACACAGGGATGTGTTCTACTTACCTTTACTACCGGTTTGGAACAGAAGCTTCTGCACATGCACAGATCACTGATGGCAGTGGGCGGGGCCTCCCACTGGTTTTACTACCAGTTCTTGCGAACCGGTCCAAACCGTGGGCAACCCACCACTGAATCCACATATACTAAAGAAAATTAAAATGCTCCTGGATATATTTGGAAATCTGACTTCCTTTTTAATTCTTTTCTGTTATAAAGCAACACAATACCCTTTTCACATACATTAATACTGTATATAATGATTTGAAGGACTCTATTTATTAAAATAGTAAATAAACCCAATAGCTATAGATAACATTTCATAGGATCATTGCAGAAGAAGATACAGATGCTTTAAAGGTATGCTGACAGAGGTAGTGTTTGTGCCATTGGGTGCTCAGAAATATCTTTTTTAATGAATCCAAAGTGCTGAGCAGTTCTAGCATTTCATTTTTAGAAGGAGCTGAACATATAGGCAATCCTTGAATTATAACCACAATCAAGCCCAAAAGACAATTGTTACTTGAGTTTTGTCCCATTTTACTACCTTTTTTTTACCACAGTTGTTAAGTGAATCACTGTACTTGTTAAGTGTTCATGAGGTCTTTAAGTGATTTGGGACTTCTCCCATTGACTTTATTTGTCTGAAGCTGGCTTGGAAGGTTACAAATGGCAACCACATGACCCTGGGAGATGCAACTGTTATAAGTACATGCCAGTTGCCCAAATTTTGATCATGTGGCCACAACGATCATAAGTGTGAAAGTCATAAATCACTTTTGCCAGTGCCGTTGTAACTTCAAATGGTCACTAAATATATGGTTGTAGGTCAAGTACTATTTGTACTACATTTATATAGCCATATTACACAGACCAATGCAAAATCTTCAAGCATTATCACTTGTGACATCAAACTCCTACATCACAATAGATGTAGATGGGCCCCTAGCTGTCTAGCCAGTTACTTTTTTTTAACTGTATTATATTAATTTGTTTAAAACAAAGAAAAAATTGCTTCTCTTTTTTCTAATGCTAATTTGGATTTTATGCACTTTTTTACTCAATCTGATGTAGAACCTAGAGTATATTTGTCTAATCTATAACAAAAGTGACATACAAAATGTCCACAAAAAAAGTATATTTGTCCACCTTCTTCTGATCCCAAATACCTTAACAATGGGTGCTTCGAAAATTTACATGGAATACCTACCGGAAAAAATCCTGGAGGGTAAAGATCCTCCCCCTGACAAAGGATGTGGAGCTGCAATGTTATTTAAGAATCCTTCCCTCAGGAATCTTGGACAAAGAGACTGGAACCCAATGGCCGGGAAGGGTCCTTATAAAAGATAAAAACTGTCATTAATTATAGGCAGTGATTTTGGTTGCTGAAAAGAAACTGTTTCCAATAGAGATAATATTGGATAATATTAATAAGATTTGATAATATTAAATAGCTTAATTATTAATTTACAGTCAGTTGGATAATCAGCTCATGCCAGCCAAACAGATATTACTCCAAGGATTAAGTTTCATTCTGGTGCCACATTTTAATTGAAGAAAATGTGAGATTTGAAGAAACATCTTTTGTTGTTATCAGCTTGGTTAACTGTATTTTTTGTAGTTTTTCATTTATTTCATTTTCCATTTTCTGTTTTTTTCTATTTTTTCCTGTAAAATTTATTAAGATAAGTAAAAATGAAAAACCACATAATGCTAGGCATGGTTTACCAATCATGCTAGCATTGCTCGCAGATTTTATTAGGTTAAAGCGAGCCAATACATTTTCATAAGATGCAATGTATGAATTCACTATTGTAGATGCCATTCATTAAAACCTCTCCGATGTTTACCACGCTCTTTTTTCCTTATAGATAAGTCTGTTAAACAGGTAAAGTCAGAATATTTTCAGTGAGCAAAATAATGTTTATACTTGGGGATTGTTAACTACATTTTCAATTTGGTTTAACATATCAATTTCTAAACAATACTTGGACCATACTTGGATCAATATTTGGATATTATGAAAAACTAGGAAATCTTCTTATTGTTCCACCATACTGTCATACAGTAGAAGCTCTGGTCACGACCATAATTTGTTCCATAACTATGGTCGCAACCCAATTTGGTCATGACCCGAACCTAATTTCCCCATTGTATTGTATGTAAATACGATCAATCCGTTCCAGACCCCTAGGAACTGTATATAAATATCGTTTTTTAAAGACTTTTAAGCACAAAAATAGTTAATTATGCCATAGAACTCACAGTGTAATAGTAAAATGTAAAATCCTTTAATAACACTAATAGCTCCTCCTGCTTTCCTTTCGGCCATTTTAGGGGCCTGGCTCTCCCACAACCTGGACAGGAGAGCAGGTGGGTTTAGGCTGGGCTGGCTGGGCAACACTCCTCTTGCCTTCCTCTCTGCAAGGAAGCCCCAGTGAGAAGAAGTGGCCCAACACACCCTCTTTCTACACTCTGAAGCTGAGTACCATGGCCTTTCCGTCGCCGGCCTGCTGAGGCTGCCGGCTCCTGCTCCCGGAGCTGCTGCTCTCTGCAGCTCCTGGAGGTTGCCATGGTGCCACTTCAACTGCCAGCGAGAACGAGATTAAAGGGTAACTTTAACGTGGAATGGCAGACAAGAATCCTTGGGACTGAGAGGAGGGGAGGTGGGGTGGAAATCATAGCTTCCAAAGCTGCTGGGATTCCCAACTACAGAGCTTGCTTGGCTCTGTTCCCAGCCCTCACCATGCATGCAAAGCAACAGTAACAAAAAAGCTGCGATTGAGGCTTCTGCAGCGTCAAGCGACTCTCCCGGGGAGGTAGGACAGGGAGAGAGAGGCTGCCTGGCCGGGGAGAAAGTTAATCTTACAAAACAAGTGAGAAGCCAGCGAGAACGAGATTAAAGGGTAACTTTAACATGTGAAATGGCAGACAAGTTTGTTCAGCAGATCAGGATTTTATGGCGTGGAAGGGGAAATTGGCCGTGACCGTGCTTGATCACCACCCGAGTATGTGTTCGTGATCAGATTCAAAAATGTTGTGAATTTTTTGGTTGGAACCCAATTTGGTCATGGTCAAAAAGCATTTGTGACCAGAGGTTCTACTGTAGGCTGGAAGAGTCATAATCAGACAAGTTCATAGATTCTGCAAACTTCAAAGGAGGTCTGCTAATGAAAAATGGTATACAGTTTTATACATATTGAAAAGTCACAGATAGTAAAATATGAAAGTAATCTTTGAGTTTGATTGAAAAATACAGAAAGCCATAATTATGCAAGTCTTACTTGGATTTAGTTATTACTAAATGGAATAATATTACTTGGAATCCCTGAGTCACAGGGACTCAGGGATTCCAAATATTCTGGCTAGTTGTACATTTGGAATTTTGGAAACACTGGTAAAAATTAAAATCTAATAAGACACTGCATAACATTTATTTGGAGACATTGTCAGTGATAATTTCAGCAGAAAAGTAGGTTTTTCTCCCACATTGTATATATTACAGGAGGAAACTACTAGTTCATGATCTTCTTACTATGTAGGATTTAATTCTCCTCTTCTACCTCCCAGAGTTTGATTACAAAATTTTGCTTGTTATTATGCTTTTAATAACTTTTTTGTTTTTTATTTTTTGCAAATAAAATTTCTCCCATTTGATTCAATCTGGATACCACCACTGTTAGTCACCAAAAAAATGAGTCACCAAATCCTTCTATAATTAACTCTCTGTTAATTATAGAAGGATTTGGTGACTCATTTTGTTAGACTGAATCAATTTGTGATTTGTGATTTCCAAAGATATAGACAGGTTGTTTGGACCAGTAAATTCCATCACTTATAGATCTTTACCCAATTTGGTTTGTAACTTCTAGGTGGCAGGTTATTAGACATACTTAATTTCCCTGATTGCCTGATTTATATTTAGCAGTAAGTTGAAAGAGGGATAGTAAATTGTCACTGAATCCAGACATGTCAGAGGTGTTCACTGTGAGTGGGTGTATTCCAGAGAAGTAATAGACATTGCTTTTCTGAATTGGGCTTCACTCTCCTAGAAAGAACAGATGTTCACATGGGGCAGTTTCTGGAATCAACTGTCTCTGGTTGCAAGAGTCATGAATACCCATTACCAGCTGTGTCTTTTCCAGCAACAAAATGACCTTAATACTGTGGGCCACATGCTGGTAACTTTTAGATATGATTACCATAGTACACTTTATATGACTTTTGTATTTAACATAAATATCTCAATTAATGCCAAATTTATCAATGAAACCACATTATGCTGTAGTAAAAAGATAGCATTGAACCTGTTTCTAGTTTGTTTTAGCAAAAAAGAAAAAAATGTGCTAGCTAAGTGGAAGAATATATCTTTCTACATGAACCCATACCCCTGATCACTGAAATCATCTTAGCAGGCTACAATGCCATATGCTCACCTCATTATGAAAAGTATTGAGCTTTTTCTCTTTATCTGCCACAATTCTTTGCAACTCATTCACTAAGTTAAATGGCTTAATCTCTTTATTCATAAAAAAAAATCCTTTTAACAATTTTAATTACTTATTTTAATTTTAACATGATTGTATTAATTTTTTTTATTGCAAAAGTTTTACAATTACATTTTCACCCTTCCCCCCCCCCACCACCCACCCCAAACTTCCCAACCTCCCTAACCCTCCCTAACCCTCCCCTCCCCCCAGACTTCCACACAATATACTCATATCAGGTAAAAAAAAACCCTTAATATAAAACTTGTATAAAACTTGAACCCCTCCCTCCCCCTTATAATTTTTCTTTTTATCTTCATTACATTAAAATATTTCTAGTACATTATTTTCAAATAAAAGCTATTTGATACTTCCTAGTTTGATATTTGTTCTGAACATATTCTATCCACTTTTTCCATTCCCATTCATAAGTCTCTTGTGAACAATATTTTAAGTATGCTGAAATCTTCGCCATTTCTGCAAAACTGGCCATCTTCAAAGTCCATTCCTCAATAGTGGGCAAAGCTTCGTTTTTCCAGTATTTACCTATCAACAATCTTGCTGCTGTTATCATATACAATATCAATTTTGTTTCACCCAATGTAAAGCCCTTAACTATACCCAATAAAAACAATTGTGGAGAGAATTGAATTTTTTTCTTCAAAACATTCTGCATGACCCACCAAATTTTTATCCAAAAAGCCTTAACTTTCCTACAGGTCCACCAAACATGATAATATGTAGCATCCAAACATTCACATCTCCAACATTTTGGCTGAACATTAGGGTACATACATGACAACTTTTTGGGGTCTAAGTGCCATCTATAAAACATTTTATAGAAATTTTCCCTCAAATTCTGCGACTGTGTAAATTTAACGTTCTGAACCCAAATTTTTTCCCATGTTTCCAACATCACTGGTTCTTCAAAATTTTGAGCCCACTTAATCATACAATCTTTAACTAATTCGGTTTCTGAATCCCTTTCTAACAAAACATTATAAAGCCTTTTAATATGCATTGGACCTTTCTCTTTTATATGTCTAACCAATTCTTCCTCATGCAACATAATACCAGTTTTTTGGTCCTCTTTCCATCTCAATTGCAATTGATTATATTGTAGCCAGGTTAAGTTAATCCCTTCAGCCAACAGTGTCTGTAGTGTCTTCAGCTGCCATCTGCCCGCATCTGTAAAAAGAACCTCTTTGTATAAAAACCCCCCGAGTGACATTATATTTGTATTCCACAAAGTATGACCAAGATCCAGCCATAGCGGTATTTTATAATCCCATTTGAATCGGTGCTTCTTCCAAACTCTCATCAAAGAGTCTCTAAGTATATGGCTTTTAAATACTTTGTCGACTTTGTTATCATAAAATAAGTAGGCATGCCATCCAAATTCAAGATCAAAACTTTCTACGTTCAATATTCCAGTCTTTTTCCTTCCAAACCAATCACTTGTTAGAGTCAAAGCTGCTGCATCATAATATAGCTGTAGGTTTGGAAGTTTAAGACCTCCCCTTTCTGGAACATCTTGCATAATTTTCAATTTCACTCTCGGCTTTTTCTCGTTCCAGACAAACTTATTCACTCCAGTTTGCCACACTTTCAGTTGTTTATCACTTTTAAGCACCGGAATCATTTGAAACAAAAAAAGAAATCTTGGCAAAATGTTCATCTTAACTGCTGCTATTCTTCCAAGTAGAGACAGTTGCAGTTTTTTCCAAGTCTCCATATCTTTCTGCACCTCTCGCCACAACACCTCATAATTATTTTGAAACAATTTCGTATTTGATTCTGCAACCTGGACTCCTAGATATTTTACCCTTGGTACAATCTCAAAATCTGC